GGGAGGGGGAGGGGAAGAGAGCAGGGAAGAGGAGGGGAGGGGAGGGAGGGGAGGGGGAGGGGGTCAGGCAGTCGGACAGGACGAGTTCCCTCTTCCTCCACCTGTTTGTTCCCTGCAGGCCTTCCCCTGATTAGATGAGGCCTACCCACACTGGAAGGGCAATCTGCTTCATGCAGTCCACACACTGTTAACCTGATCCAGAAATGCCCTCACAGACACTCCCAGAATCCTGCTGGACCAAATGTCTGGACTCCCCACGGTCCAGTCAAGTTGACACATAAAATCAGCCTGTGTCCAGTGTGGAAATGGGAGTCACAGGACACAGAAGGCAACACAAAACACTGTGTGTGGACACAGACATAGGACGTGCAGACAGCCGAACCAGGTGACCTTCAGGAGGGTGGGAGGGACACGGGCTTTTCACTGTGTGCGTCTGTGCCACCAAATTGAATTCAACAGGCATTCATCCCAACGGCAGCTAAAAAGTAACAGTATGATACAACTTCAGGAGGAAAGACAAGACAGTGTGCTTGGCCTTGATGCCGGACCCCATGAGCAGGAGTCACTGGGTGCAACAAGCAGAGGGCCTGAACTGGCAGGCAGAAACCCAGAGAACTCAGCTGGGTGGGGATACCAGGAAGGCCAAAGCCAGGAGGAGGCTGGGAGCACCCAAACTGGTGTTTCGTGTTCCAACTCTGAGGAGCTGAGAGCAGGCAGCCTGGCTCACAGGACAAAGGAAACCGGTGAGAACAGAGCAGCACCCCCCTCCCCCACCACACACTGCAGGAGGCTGGAGCTGGGCAGCATCAGGGGGAGGGCCATGGTGAAGGCCGGGGGAGAGCCAAGAGAAAGGCCAAGGTAGGGACCAAGGGGAGGGCCACGGTAAAGGCAATGGTGAGGGCCACGGAAGGGCTGAGGGGAGGGCTGAGGGAGGAGCGAGGGGAGGGCTGAGAGGAGGGCCAAGGGGAGGAGCAAGTGGAAAGCCACGGTGAGAGTGATGATGAGGACCAAGGGGAAGGCCAAGGGGAGGCCAAGGGGAGGACCATGGTGAGGGTAATGGTGAGAGTGACGGTGAGGACCAAGGGGAGGATCAACAGGAGGACCAAAGGGAGGCCAAGGGGAGGACCATGGTGAGGGCCGTAGTGAGGGTGATGGTGAGGGTGATGGTGAAGACTAAGGGGAGGACCATAGGGAGGACTATAGTGAGGGTAATGGTGAGGACCAAGGGGAGGACCATGGTGAGGGCCGTAGCGAGGGTGATGGTGAGGGCCAAGGGAAGGGCCAACGGGAGGACCAAGGGGAGGGCCAACGGGAGAACCAAGGGGAGGGCCATGGTGAGGGTAAGGGTGAGGGTGATGGTGAGG